TTTTAATGAGGAAACAGACTCAGAGAGTCTCATTCAGGGCAAGGCCTCAGTTAAGCTCAGGCTGTCACCCCTCCGAGTCCAGCATGTCCCATCTCAGCAAGCTGCTTGCTCCTCTGGTCAGACTTCCACACCGTGTCCCTCCTCTGGACTCCCCTCCTCGTTCCTCAACCCCCAGGACAGTCTTCATGTCCCCCATCTCCTGCCAAGCGGCAGGGACCATCAGAAACGGCCACGTGGGTTTGGTCACCGGGCAGCTGCTGGGCTCGCACGCTGCGGTTTCCTCCAGGCCCGCACTGTCTTTCATTCTTTAGAACACTTCTAAACCCTTAAAACAACAGATCAGAAGGCACTCTGATGTCATCCTGCCTGGAACGGCCCCAGGGTTCAGATGTCTTGTTCCCTGGGACTTGCCGCAATCGCCTGCCCAAGGGGTAGCCACCACATGTCACTTCTCACAAAAATCAATTTACAAATGTGTCCAAGGAAACACAAACACTCCATGAGCAGCAGCACTTGCAACGGATCCATTTCAAAGCAAGTCCTGCCGGGAGCAGCTAAAGCAACAGAAATGAGAGTGCTGACAATTCTTTCAAGTTTCTGGTTCTCACTCTCGACTGCTTTCTATTTCCACGTAGGGGAGCAAGAGGAGAAGTGCCTCATAGAAGACATCCCCAGTGACACACTGATCACAGGTAGGTGCCAGGGGCTCTGTCGGATGCTGAACTCAGGACACCACGCGGTGGTCTCATGATAGCCACTGGTGGATACACTGCTGGGCCGTGAGAGTCACGCTGTGTGGTATCCTCGTGAGATAGTTTATCAAGCAATGCAAACCCAACATGAAATAGTTTGAGAGTGAATTGTGTAATTCATAAACAGGAAACCCAGACGCGACACCACAGAACGCAAGCTTGGTGTTTTTTTCTGGTTGTCAGGTTTCCTTCAGTAAGAGGTTCTGATGCTATTAATTCTGCTCAGTGTGGCTGAATCTCCAAAGACACGTGAGGGTTCGAAACAAGTCCAGCAAAACAGACAAAACAGCAGATGTTAATGTGTCTTCTGAACGTCCATGTCCCTCAGGGCGGGGTGGTGAGGGGCTGTGCCTATGCTAGCCTGACACTGCCACCCACACTGGCTGCCCGTGAAGCCTGCCACTTCCACGGTGACTTCTGCACACTCCCACTCTCCACCCAGCATGCCCCACACAGGCTTCACTGGCCTGCTGAGAAAGAACAAGTGGCAGGGCCTCCGAAATGCATAGAAAACCCAGTATGTTCAACATTCAAGTCAGAATCAACATCAATTGCCCTGATTTTCATGCAAAAAAAGAAAAAAAAGGAGCAGGATGCAAACCTAGCCATTCTCTTCAGTGC